GCTATCTGATGGTGTGAAGCTTGCATCGTGTGCCATGTCCGAGTGGGGTTTCCTGCTGACATCTCCTTGGTATGAGTTCTGCCCTGTTCCTATTCTGTCACAACATTTACAGTATATTGGATATCCTGTTCATGAGCTGATGTACGCAGTAGCAATGTACACTCAAATTAGATTTCTGCACTTGTTCCTGGTGCTGTTGGTCATCTACAGTGTTCGTGATACCTGTTTCCTGTATAGTGTTATTCTGTTGTTGATACCTTATTATCTCATGTTGGTCATCTACAGTGTTCGTGATATCTGTTTCCTGTATAGTATTATTCTATTGTTGATACCTTATCATCTCATGTGCAGGTCTTTCTGGTGCTGTTGGTCATCTATAACGTTTTCTTCATCGCTGTGACCTTCAAGTTTCTGAGTGTGCCGTTTAGTAGATTCTACGTGGAACGCAAATGGTCGATTCTCCTCAACGCATGTTCTTTTTTTGGTAAATCTATCTGTCCAGATTGTTAAACTTTTGTTTTAGTTGGCGTTGATTTGTTGAGTTAAAGCGTGTCAGCCACCGTAAAAACTGTGGTCAAATGGTGGTCGAATTCAACCGGTGTTTATGTTTAAGTGTAACAGTTGCCGATGTGGCCCAAAATCACCCAATATATATGAATTAATACCAATTAATGCTAATAAATCACCCAGTGTATATGAATTAATACCAATCAATACTAATAAATCACCAAGTTATATGAATTAATAGTATATATGAATTGATACCAATTATTACTAATAGTACAGCTAATATGAACTAATACCAATTATTACTAATGAACCACCCAGTATACATAATTTAGTACCAATTAATACTAATCACGTAGTATATATGTATTAATACTCATTTATAGTAATAAAACACTTGGTATATATGAACTAATACCAATTGTTACTAATAAATCACCCGGTATGCATGAATTAGTACCAATTAATACTAATAAATCACGTAGTACATGTATATTAATACTCATTTATAGTAATAAAACACTTGGTATATATGAACTAATACCAACTTTTACTAATAAATCACCCGGTATACATGAATTAGCTCCAATCAGTACTAATAAATCGCGTAGTATATATGGATTAATACTCATTTATAGTAATAAATCACTTAGTATATATGAACTAATACCAATTATTACGAATAAATTACCAAGTGTATATGAATTGGTACCAATTAATGCTAATAAATCACCAAGTGTATATGAATTAGTGCTAAATAACACTAACACATACAAGCGTACAAACTTTGCTAATTAATATTTGTACTCTCGTGAAAGTGGTCCATTATTCTGAAGCTGAGTGCCGTATTCGGCGAATCACAGACCAATTCACAGAGCCATCCTCTGGGTGCAGAAGGATGCTTGTGCCTTGACCCAGAAGTTCTCGCCCGATTCTATTAGTTCGATAGTTCGGTACTTCGTTTGTATCTGTATGCAACTGTGCAGTGGATTCTACAGCATGATTCTGGAGAGCATATCTTTAGCGATACACATACATATCTACAGAGACTAACCTTCTCACTAACCCTACCTGTGTGGATGTATACACTCCTACCTAAGGTGTGAATTGCTCTACTCACTAACCCTATCTCTGTGGATGGATATATACCTACATAGTGGGTGGCGATATCATGTACCTATTTTTGGTGAAAGCGCCAGGCCTGGATGCAGATGGGATATGGTCATACTCGACAAATCTACTGATTGCAGATCAGTTCATGGTCAATATGGCACTGGGCATTATACTGTTTTTGAACCTCTGCTTCATTGCCAATTTCCGCAACTCAAAGTATAGGTATGTATCGGTGTGTATATTGGAAGTATAAGTATCTATTTATAGGTGTAGGTATGTATATATGTGAGTTTGTATAACAATAGGTCTGTGTAGGGAGTAGAGGTAGGTATATGTATAGACATGTATATGTGCAGGTATGTGTAGGTATATGTAAGTGTAGTGAGTACAGGTATGTCTAGGTGTAGGTATGTAAAGGTATTCATTGGTATAGGTATGGTATGTATAATGTATAGGAAGTATAAGTATATATAAATAGACTTGCTATCAGCATAACCTTACACAGTCTTCTTTGAGTATTGTAACTGTCGTTACTCTATTTTTTCGGCCTAACCCCGTACTCGCATTGAAGATAGAAGGGTCGTGTGCGCTCCTCCATATCTACACGCCACGTTACTAACCAGCACACACCGCCGTGTCTGTCTGCAGCGAACATCTGCCCTGGGGGTTCTACTTTGACAAGCTGGTGTTTCTGTTCGTGTGGGTGTTTGTGACTGTGTGCGGGACAGCTGTGACCACCGCCAAAGTCACCCAGGCCATCACCAGCGTCGCAGTATGTTATGTGTCTGAAGGGCCGGTTTAAGCTCTTCACGTGTTGATGGTTTCTCTCTGCGTGATACGCGTCTGTTGGTGAATCAAATGTGTGTGCGCAAGGTGGTACACTCGTTCACATGGCCTGGCTTTCGTGAGTGTCGTATTGACATGACACCTGTCGTCTTGACATGACACATGTCGTATTGACACGACACTTGTTGTGTTCTTCACCCAATTCCACCCCAGGTATCACATATCCGGACTGCTGGTGAGGTGCTAACGTGCTGTCTCATGACGTACTACTTTCTGTCCGTTCTGGTGCACACGGCGTATACTGCCTCCGTGCTGCGGGGCCAATGGAATTTTGGCGTACGACACAGACAGGTCAGAACTATAATA